GAGGAAAGATGGGGAATAACAGATTTTTATTATAATATACATATTTAACTTTTTATTATGTTAGCTGATGCTAACACAGGTAGATAAATTAAGTCAACTGAAGGAGTGAAACACAAAAATAAAATGGAAAGGACTTTAATATTAGCTCTTTTTATTTTTTAAATTTTATTAGAGAGAGCAAGCAAGAGTGCATGTGTGCACATGGCGGGGAGGGGCAATGAGGGAAAGGGAGGGGCAGAGGGAGACAAAGGGGCAGACTCTCCGCTAAGCAGGGAGCCCAATGTAGAGCTTGATCCCAGAACCCTGGGATCATGACCTGAGCCAAAGGCAGACACTTAATGAACTGAGCCACCCAGGTGCCCCTTCTTCTGGGACTTCCGATGAACTAATCAATACATATATACCAAATAGTAAGCTAGAAGATTCATTTAGGCTGAAAGTAGATTCTAAGTATACCATGTATATATTTCAAAAACATGTTCTACTTGGATAGCAAACTTTATGAACCACACAGTAACTAAGATAATAAAAATTACGCAGAAACTCATGCCTATAAAGAGGCCTGTTTATTACTGATAACACTTCATTTGGCTAAAACCACAAGAAATCCACACACAAACACTTCAAGTGCAAATTCTCACAGGCGGTACTTATGATACACCCTGGTGTTTTCATCGGAAAAAAAAGGAGAAAATATTGACAAGAACAGGTAAAACAAGAGCACAATTTTGATCTACTGCTACACGGTCAGAAAAATAATTCATTCTTAACGGCATATTTCATCTGGCATATTCAGTGATGTATACAAAGTTTATTTTTGCCTAAAACAAGAAGGCCTCACCATATATACAGATGCAGACTCTTGCTTGAGTGCCTCTTGTGAGATGTATGATGAATCATAACAGTGGACAAAAATATATCAAATCGTATCAAATTAGCTGTGATTCACTTGGAAGGTAGCAGTAGGAGGCTCAAAGTGGCACCTATACTCAGTGATACTAAGTCTACATAGGTACGTTCTTAGCCTACTTGGCCAACACCTTGTTATGAGTGTAAAATACTAGGCATTACATATAATTTTCCGAACAGGAATATGTTCTGCTCTCTCAAAAGAAGCTGAGTATTTAAGGGTATGCATGCTTAATGAAGATGATTTATTATAAATTTCAGTAATGAGATTTGTTTAAAAAACTGAATCAGAAAATTAACATTTTTGATTGCTTCTTAAACTATTAGCTGCTTTAAGATACAATCCCCTAATTCCTACTGTCGCCAACTAAGCGTTCTATAACACGTACTATAACGGGGGTGGGGGAGGTTATGAAAAATAATAACACATGATCTCTGCTCTCAGGGAGCTGATAGTCAGATGCTCCTTCTCAGTCAAGGAATGCCAGTGAATGAATGAAAACAAAGTGGCCAACACTTCTGAAAATGAGGTTCAGTGATAATGTAACTGTTTCAGGTCAGTTTAATTTGGCAGTAATGCTTTCAAAGTTCAGCTTTTAAAATGCAGGGAACCAGCTAGATATGTTCTGTGTTTCTATTTCTCACATTAAGGTCGGTGTGTGTACCTCCAGGCAGATGTGGCAATTGAGGTGGGGAGGGGGAGACCACTGAGCAGCCCTGTGATCAACACAGAGCTCCTTTCCAGCAGCACCCGCTTCCGTGAGGACTGGAGGAATCATTTTTACATTGAAACAGTTTTATTATGGGGAATGCAAAATTCAGCTTCCATTTTTATGACAGAACATGAAATTTCATGAGCGATAGACTGCTTCGGAGTTTGGGCTTGGGACCCTTCCCCCACATAGTCGTCATGTTCCTCCGCTTTAGGGTTATGCTGGTGGCAAACTTTGCGAAGCAGACTTTAGCATGCCATGTGCCCTTATCTTTACTCATTCTTATATGTCCTCTTTTTAAGGTATATAGTCTTTAACGAAGAGAAAAGACGGCTTAATGAACATAACAGTATGGTTAATATTTTAAAGTAGCCAGTGGTAAAAACTAACTTGGTTTTCAACTGGAACTAAAGAAAGTCATGCCATGTCAAGTCCTGCAATGAAAGGTTCTCTTCTTTCCACTTGGACTTCTTATGGTAAGATGCTCTGGGGGACAAAAGGGAAAAAAGATTTCCTAAAATTTTGTGCTTTGGATGCCCCAAGTACAAGGAGACCTGAAATAAAATGTGAGCTCAACTGACCATCCATTTCAATTGGTCAGACTCTTTCCTCATCACTTTCTAGAGCAATCTCAGAAAAACAAATGAATTATAAAAGGCCATAATAAATTAGCATATAGTAGTATCCAGACAGACCAAAAAAGGCTATGAAATAGATTTAAAATTACTTCTTACAATGTTTTAAATATTCTCACAATAGTAACAAAATAATCAAGTCAAAAAAAACACATAGTTTATGAATCAGCTTAAAGCATTCTGGATGAATACAGTTAAGATTTCTTATCAGTGAGGTAATAGAGCAATAGCTTTTCACAGTAACAAAATGTAGGAGGGCACCTGGGGAAGGAGGGAGGTAGAGAGAAAAAGTCATAAAATAAATTTATCCAAGCGAAATTTGGATTTTTCAAGCATCATAAACATCAGTGGAAAACACTGGAAAGAAATACCAGTAGCAGCAGTTCATAGAACAATTTCTCCATTAAACTCCAGCTAATATCTCTGTTGTGTCCATTCCAGAAGCGACTTCCTTATGAAACAGGAGCCCTATTTCCTATATAAGGATATCCCCAGTTTCCAATCTCTTAGAATCTTTCTGTCTGCTGAAGTTACTACATCCAAATAAACAATAGAGTTGAAACAAAACCCTCAAATATCCTATAATGCTATACATTCTTCAAGATGAACAAAACGGTGTTCAAGTCTCACTTAATTCGCCAGGTTAAATTAAAAATAATATCCAAGCTGGTCTCTGTGCAATGAATGAAGACTGCGCTCATGCAACTACTACTCAACATATACAAAAACTCTCATGAGCTAAATTCTTCTAGTATATGTGCTGCCGAAGCGAGCATCTAAATTCTTCTAGATAGGGAGTGAAACTCAAATGTTACTTTCAGTACTCTCTATGACATCATCGTTGTTCCCGCCTGAGGTTAAAAAAAAGTATCAGACGGAACCTTTAAAAGACATTTAGTATATCCCTTAATCTTAAATTTGTTATTTAGTTTTTTTGAAAAGGTTCTTATTCTTTTATTCTGTCCTCACTGAAGACAGAAAACAGTTTGCCGTATTACTTCTTACTTTGCGTCCTTTAAAAGATTCAAGAAATAACTTAAGACTTATTAAATTATCTTAACAGCTTTCTCCCCTCCAGAATTAAATGATCTGAATTCTTTGAACTTTTTCTCACAATCTCTGTTGTATTCTGTTTTATTTCTGCTATGTCTTCTCTTCTCCAGCTCCCATATGATCCTAAGACACAACATCCTAGCAGGAATTGAATCAGTAAGAGGGGTACTTTTTCTCACCTCCAAAAACTTGGCCTCTTTGTAGTGGTTGTTAATAAAGGAAACAAAAGGTTCACTATCTGTTCATCATTATAACAAATACACATGGGTAAAGAACTTGCCCACAGCCAGCTTATTCCCTACTTTTAGCTCTCTCAGTTTACCTTTCAAAAGAAGCATTTCCTGTGCCATCTTATTGATCTATTTGTTTATTTCTACTGATTATTTTCAATGTATGCTTTGATCTTGCCAGATTAGTTCTCTCCTTTCCCCCAAAACTCTAGAAAAGCTTTAATTAAAAAGTTTTAATCTACACACTGAATAAGAATGGATTCATTTTCAAGATATTGTTCGTAAAGAAAAAGTTAAACACTGTAGAGCCCAAGGCTGAGACCTATAGTTCAGCACTCCTGTCTTTTCTGGTCAGCTTGGGTTACTAAATTTACCCTGTTAGGCAACTGTACACCACTGTGTCAAGTTCATGTTAAATATCATGCTAAGATAGACTTGAGAGCTTGGCTAGAATCAAATAATTTCCTTAATCTATACACTTTAGAACATTTGTAATATTTTGCTGATTTTAACTTTGGATTTTTAAATTTTTGAGGTAAGAATCTAGGCTTTAATAACTTTTCACCTTAATTAAGATGACTTAAATGTTGCATTATATTAAAGCACTCAAAACTGTTCTCCTTATAATAGACTTACAGTCATGACATGGCTTTAGCGATTATGAATGTGCTAGCATATCATTTTATCTCCCCTTCGTTCTTCGGTCACTGGAACAGATACTAAAGCCAAATACACAACTTTTCATATATATAGCATTGTTCATACTACTTGGTAGAATATAGGCTATCTCCAAAATTACATTCTACATTCCTAAAAGCAAATAAAACAAAAAAGTCCGCACATTTCTTCTTTAGTACAAAGCCTTTGAAAACAAAGTCATTCTGAAGTATGGTGCTCTACACTTACTTAGCTGTCTATTAACTACAGTCATATGAGATCTAGCTATAGGAAAAGAAGGAACAAATTAACAATAGTGGCAATACAATAATTTGAAAATTATATTTGCACTATATGGATTCAAACAAATGTTAGCTGATAGAGCTGCAACAAACCATACCATTACTTACTAAACAGTCTAATCAGTTTAAATGTTATATTATTATTATTATTACTATTTAGGAAATAAATACTCTAATACCAGTTATGTCCCATTAGCAATTTGTTTAGTATGATTACACCCAAGGCCTTGTTACTGTTACCTCTTAGCTATATCACATGTGTTTATGTGTTCTGTTGAGTTGTATAGGACAGGATACACTTTAAGAAAATTAAATAGTACTTCTCTACTAAGACATTTTTAGAAGACTGGAGAATCAACCAAAAGTGACCTTCCAAAATTTTTTTTCACATTGAGGGGCGCCTGAGTGGCACAGTTGGTTAAGCCTCCGACTCTTGATCTCAGCTTGGGTCTTGATCTCAGGGTCATGACTTCAAGCCCCACATTGGGCTCTATGTTGGGCATGGAGCCTACTTGAAAAAAAATATGCAAAATTTTTTTCCACATTGAAAAAGATAAGTTATACTCTTGAGATCAGAAATTCTATAGTAGCCAGCAAGATGTTAGAATAAACTGGACTTTAGTTTTAAAACATGTAGTTTTAGTGTTTGGTAACATCTAAAATCCGGATATTATATTTCTTAGTAAAATTAGCATTACTTCATCTGGTAAAGGAATAAATCTACTTACAAAAATTTAATTCCAAAGTTAGATTTGTAAATAAATTCAGAGCTCCTTTCTCAGTTTGGATTTTTTTCTCTACCTGAAGGCTGTGATTATTGACACTTAATTCTTACAAGAAGATCCTTAAGCACAGTTACTTTGAATCTGATTTTATTAAGATTTTTATTTACATTCATAACATTTTTAGAAGGGCAAATTGATTTGATATAGAGGGGAAGCACCTACATAGTTTGCTCTGAAATAACTGTCTGAAAATTAACTGACTAAATTATAGTCAATGCAGGAACACTGTTTTAATTCATACCATACCCTGAGAAGGCACTAAGAAATCTGACAAGAACGAAGCCACTAGGAGCATTGCCACTATTGTTTCATGTTCAGTAAACGTCAGAATTTTAAATACATACAATAAATTTACACTGCACCAAGAGCACCTGAAACACATATGGTAACATCTGTTCTAAGCTAGAAATACCCAATTTCAAATACTCTACTTTGTAAGTTAATACCTATGACGTAATAATGATACTTTCCCACACTATGCTGGGAGCAATGCCATTTTCTTGTCAATTTTATAGATTAATTTCCTTACTAATTCAACAACTATATAACATTTATCTACCTTTTTAAAAAACCGTGCTATACACAAGTACAATACGGAACTAAGCTTAATCACACTTTAATAAGAAAACTCACTTTTGTATTGTTTTTTTTTTCTGTTAAAGGAAGAACAATGTGTTACTAGAATACTTTTAATGCAATGACATTTGTTCAAGATTATGAAAAAATTCGAATCCTTTCTCTCCAGATCATTTCCTTTCGAACTTATACAGTTTGTTTCGTCAGCCCACTAAAAGAAAGAAAATCGAAGTGCAAAGATACTTGACCAGATGAGATAGAGAATGCTAACACGACTTCAATGCATGGAATTCCTGGTTGTTCTGTTCCATGTGCCGGTGCCAAGTCATGGCGTACTGGTGTGCACTAAACAGAACGCCAGATCAGTCCATTTTTACTAGGCTCGAGAAAATTCTCAATCAAAGCTTCAATGAGTTTCCTCAATTCCTCTTCTAGGAAGGCAATGTCACTGAAGAGAAAGATGGGGAGTTTTGAAATTCTTGATTTTTACCACTTTAAATTTTGTTTTAAATTGTTATAATTTTAAAAGGGGATGCTTAAACACTTTGTAAACCAAAAAGAAGTTCACTCTGTTAAAACAAAACAAGACCAAAGGGGGGGGGGGCAGGAATTACATGCAAGAAAACACCATGATCACAAACTTAAGTTGTACGGCATTAAAGGGAGTTCCTTGGTACATGATACATGGATGAGTTTCGGTATATCTAAATTTTTCTCCTTGGTCAGGCAATTTAATGGTCCAGAACACCAATACCAGGCATTATACTAAAATGGCTTCCTGATACTTTGAAGAATACTCAGTAGATATTATGGGATGATACAGCATGACTCAGATACAGAAGGGGGATGGGACTAAAAAAATGAGATGCTTAAGAAAGAAATCCACATTTACAAGTATGCGCTTCAAAGTCATCACTGCTGTTGACCAAAACATGTCTAGGAAAGCCTCTTTTCAACTGCCTTCATGGTCATTTGTTATTACTTTAATAATCATCCTTTATTTTTAACCAAATAGAGCATTACCCTAATTTGGTTTCCTTTAAACTCTACTCTGAATGACTTTAGGACATCCTTTTTTGTCCCCAAAAGAAAATAAAAATCTCTTAAATGCAAAGGTTTAGAGACGTACAAAATAATGTACCTTAGAATCTGAAGGCAATTCCAAAGCATCTCTTTCCCAAAAATATACTGATCAGTGACAACATTATAGAAGGTACTACTTTTAATAAGTGTAAATAGGCTTTGGAAGGCAGCTGTGCTCACCACTATACCACCAATGCTTAAGTGTAAATAGCCTTTGAATATGTTTATTAAAGTCAATTTAGTGACAATTCAGACTCTTAAAAGGAAATAAATTGGGCAGATTAAGTCAAATCATATTAGATATATGAAATGAATGTTTGAAAATAAATTGTTGATCATTTCTTTAGGTTCAGCATATAACAGTTAAAGCTCACAGAACCTTCCCAGTAATAAAAATCGACCAAAATCTTAAAATTCAATTCCCGGGGCGCCTGGGTGGCTCAGTGGGTTAAGCCTCTGCCTTCGGCTCAGGTCATGATCCCACGGTCCTGGGATCGAGCCCCACATCAGGCCCTCTGCTCAGCGGGGAGCCTGCTTCCTCCTCTCTCTCTGCCTGCCTCTCTGCCTACTTGTGATTTCTGTCTGTCGGGTAAATTAATAAAATCTTTAAAAAAATAAAATAAAATAAAATTCAATTCCCAAATGGTCCAGCTGCTTTGGAAAATAGTCTGGCAGTTCCTCTGAAGGTTAAACACAGAACTACCATGTGATCCAGCAATTCTCCACCTACATATGGACCCAAGTGAAATGAAAACATGTCCACACAAAAACTTGTGCACAAATGTTTATAGCATTGTTACTTGTAATGGTTAAAATGTGGAAATAACCCAAATGTCCACCACCTGATAAAAGGATTAAAAAAAAAAGTGTTGAAAAAAAAAAAAAAAAGTGTTGTATCTATACAACAGAATATTATTAGGCCAAGAAAACAATTTAAAAAAAAAAGAATTAAGTGCTGATTCATGCTACAACACAGATGAACCTTGAAAACATCATGCTAAGCATAAGATGCCAGTCACAAAGGGCCATATATTGTATGATTCCATTTATATGAAATGCCCACAATAAGCAAGTCGATAATGACAGATAGTAGATTGGTGGTTGCCGAGGGCTACATGGAGGGGGATGGCAAGTGACTGCTAATGGGTATGGGGCTTCTTTCTGAGGGGATAAAAATGTTCTAACATGGAATGTAGTAAAAAAAAATGTGTAGTGATGTTTGCACAACTCTGAATATACTAAAAACCACTGAACTGTATGCTTTTAATGGGTAAACTGTACAGTATGTGAATTTAATCTCAATAGAGCCTATATATATATAAATATACAAATCTAAATATATATGTATATATATATTTTAAAAGTCAATTCTCACCTCTGCTCAGGGGATGCACACATCTCCGCATAATACTTTATCTTTGGTTCTGTCCCACTTGTCCGAAGAGTAGCGACACAGCCATTTTGAAAAGTAAATGTAATCATTTGGCTGTTTTTACTCACAGGCAGTACCTATGCACAAGGTGAACAATGGCTTAGTTACACTCAGTACCTTTTTCATTTTCAGGAGTTGTAAAATATATTCTACTTATGTGAGGTATCTAAAGGAGTCAAATTCATAGAAACAGGAGTACAAGGTCATTGGCAGGAGGTGGGGGAAGGGGGAAGTGGGGAGTTGTTTAATGGGTATGGAGTTTCAGTTCAGCAAGATGAAAAAGTTCGGGACATCTGCTGCACAACAAGGTAGACAGTTAACACCAACGGACTGCATGTTCAAAAGCAGTTGCGGTGGTAGGTTTTGTTATGCATTTTTTACAATTAAAAATTTGTTTTTTAAATTATAAAACACAAAAGATTATATACACAATAATTCATAAATATGCCATTTACTGAACATTTTATAATAATACAGCGTTGGGTTATATACCTTACATACATGATCTCCAGGCCTCAGCAACAATCTTCCAGAGTAAATATTACTGCCAATTTACTGACATGGCTCAAAAAGAGTAAATGACCTGGTCAAGTTAATCAGCTAAAGTGGCAGAGCAAGAAGTTGGAGCCAGGTCTATGTATCACAGTCCAGACTGCCTCTGCGTTGGCAAAGGGCTTTACAATTTCGAAGCACTTTCATAGACAGTTTATCAATTGTCTCCAAAGCAGACTGCATGTGTCCTAGAGGGCAGGCAAAATAATCCACTGACTGGGGTACAAAAAAAGTTTATATTTTTTACCTAAAAGTTAAAAAAGGAAATGAATCTTTACTGATGTTGAACACATGGATTCATACTAGTACTCCTTCTGCGAAGGAATCTTGGGGGAATTGTGGGGGTTGTACTAGGACAGAGGTGGTGCCTTTCAAAAGGGGTCTGAGCCTGATCCTTTCTTTGAAACCCCTCCCTCAGTTACAGGTACTACTATACACCAGTTGCTTAAGACAGAGACCCTTCTCCCCTCTTTTTCACTCACAGACCATCAACTAGCAAGTCTTGTCTATTCTAGTCTTTAACTCAACTTTGTCCAACTCTCTCCACCACTGCTGCTACTAGATTTAATTCGGGCTCCCATCATCTCTCATCCTGATTCCTGAAACAGCATAATAACTGAACTTCCTGCCTGGGAGTTTGCCTGTCTCTAACCCCCATACCGTATGTGCCATTCCTCCTCGAACTCCACACTACAGTGTAGAGAACTCTTGGTGGTTTTTTGGAGGAGAACATGCCTTCCTACCTCCAGACCTAGCACTTGGTGCTTCCTTTGCCTGAATACCCACTGTTCCTCCTATGTCTGGATAACTCTTACTCATACTCAGCTCACAGAAGTCCTCTAGAAGGTCTTCTGTAAGCCTCCCAGATCTGAGCAAGGGTCCTTCCTATGCTCTTCCATGGCACCTTACGCACCCCCGGTCTGTTTCATTTTGTAAAGTAATCCCTGCTTACTTCCATTTCCCCACTAGCCTCTTGAGTGCAGAAACAGTGGCTTTGTCATTGCTCCTTCTCAGTGTGCCTACAAGGGCTTTGATAAATGCCTGTTGATAAATGCCACAGAGAGCAATCTGGAGTGTGAAGAAAACACTCAGGAGGTCTTTGACACTATGTGACCACTGGGGTAAATTAACAATGTCTGTAGTACCTGCCTTACAAAATTGTTGTAACCATCTGTGGAGAGCAGATAGAAAAGTACTTTGAATAAGGAATATCCTAAACCTTAAAGGGGGTTAATAGGAAAAAAGCATCACACCAAGAACTACTCCTAAGCACAACATTAGTGAAATAAAAAGAAGCAAAAAATTTGGTTCATCTCATCAAGTAGTTTACAAAGACAGAAAAATAGATACCAACAACTGGGAATGAATATTTGCTGATTAGATGAATAGACATAAAAGGAATATGAACTATATTCAATCAAGAAATGACAGATATTCCAAAATATATTATGCCCGTAGCATCTTGAGACAACATCAGAACATTATAAGTGGAAATTTGGTCTAATAATCCTAACAGTAACCAAATACATATGATTAACAACTTATGGCATTTATTTATTTTTTTAGAAGATTTTACTTATTTATTTATTTAAGATTTTTTACTTATTTGCCAGAGAGAGAGAGAGAGATAGATAGAGTACATACAAGCAGGCAGAGAGGCAGGCAGAGGCAGCGAGAGAAAGGCAGGCTCCCTGCTAAGCAAGGAGCCCGATGCAGGACTCGATCCCAGGACTCTGGGATCATGACCTGAGCCGAAGGCAGACACTTAACCAACTGAGCCACCCAGGTGTCCCTATTTATTTATTTGACAGAGAGAGAGAAAGCAAGAGCAGGAACACAAATAGGGGAAGTCTGAGGGAGAAGCAGGCTCCCCACTGAGCAGGGAGCCTGATGCGGGGCTCAATCCCAGGACTCTGGGATCATGACCTGAGCTGAAGGCAGCTGCTTAAGGACGGAGCCACCCAGGCGCCCCAATTTATGGTGTTTAAATATTTGTTGAGCACCTACCACAAAAGCAGGAGCTTTGACAGGCACGGAGGTATGTCAGAAATGGATCTGACATGCGCAACACAATGATAACAATAAAATAGAAAGTGATAAATGACAAGAGGAAGGCACAATAGATAATGAAACCTCAGGAGGAAGATATCTAATTACGGGACCTGGAGGGTATGTGGAGGAGGTGATATCTGTCTGAAGTCTTAAATAATGGCTAAGATGTGGACCTGCCACAGAGGAAGGAGAGGCAGATTGGGGAAATAGCTTGAGCAAAAACAGAGAGATTTTTATTTTCATTTCTTTAAAGATTTTACTTATTTATTTAAGAGAGAGAGAGATAGCCAGAGAGAGGAGGGCAGGGGTAGGGGGGTGGGGAGGGGGAAGCAGACTCTCTGCTGAGCAGGGAGCCCCGACTTGACTCTGGTCTCGATCCCAGTACGCTGGGATCATAGCTTGAGCCAAAGGCAGAGAACTAACAAGCTGAGCCACCCAGGTGCTCCCAAATACAGAAATTTTTCATAAAAATGTATGCATATAAGAAACTATAAGTTGCCCTATTTGGCTGCAGGTGTAGGGACTAAGGTTGAAAAGGGAAGTTGCAAATAGAAAGGTGTAATGGTGAGCTTTGAAAGAACAGGCTTTTAGACTTTATCTTCAACATCACACATTCTCCCTCTCTCCGTCCCTTTCTCTTTTTGTCTAATTCTCTTTCCCACCTCCCAGGGAGGAGCATACACTTGGGGAGAGAGGAGGACAGGATCAGAGGCAGGGAGCCTGTTAGTGGGATTACAACCGCTCTGAAGAAAAACAATGAATCCTAGTTTCAAGACATTCACAGGCTTGAACTTCCACTATTTTATTATAGTACAAAGTACTACAAATCGTTAAACTTAAAAAAAAAGGGGGGGTACTTACTGATTTCTTATTAGGCTGGCTGCTGTCATAGCCAGTGGTAACATCCCGTATGTGCAATATAGCAAATGTCCCACAGAATTTTGGATATTCTTTTGGAGAATCAAAATTGCGAAGCCTTTCAAATATACTTTTGATGGTACTTGGATCATAACACAAGAAATATGAAGTTTTTGAAATATGATAACCATATCTGCACAAAGATTTAAAGTGTTAAAGTCAGATTTCAGATAACTCTTCAGGAAAGTATAAAGATAAGCCTATTACAGTATTACGTAGAAAGTGGCAGTCTTTACTTCAGCTTTAGAACTTTTTAGAAAGGACTGGCTGTTTTCAAAAACCAAATTTAGAAAGCTAAAAGGAGGGCCCCCAAAATGAGACGTTTGGCAATTGAAATGAGAAAATCATAATAACAGAACTTACTTTTCATAGACCTTAATCAGCTGCTGTTTCAATGTTATATTCATGGTTTCCAGGTAAGCTGCCATCTCGGCAACGACTACGGCTGCACTCACCCCATCTTTATCCAAAACCGAAGTGCCACACAGAAAACCTAAGAATTAAAACACATTTTTTTTTTTTTAGATTTTTATTTATTAGAGAGAGAGAGCACGCAGGAGCAGGGAAGAGGAGTGGGGGAGAGAGAGAAGCAGGCTCCCCACTGAGCAGGGAGCCAGGACAAAGGTGGGGCTCGAACCCAGGACCCCGGGATCATGACCGGAGCCAAAGGCAGACAAACGCAGACACTTAACCTACTGAGCCACCCAGGGGACCCTTAAAACACATTTTTTAAAAAGGGGAAAACTTAAGCCTAAAAGAATTTCAATAGTTTTACATTTTTTCAGAAGAACTAATGAATTTAAGAGCCTACTAAAAGATGAAGCCCACTGATACTGAAGGTACTTAGGGGACTTTTAAGGGTCTTCCCCTCAAATCCCCCCAGCAAAAAGTGCATCTAGATATTTCTGAGTTCTCTGTGGTTTTTACAACTCAAAAGACAAAACCAGAAGACAAAATTTCCTCTCTGTAGAATTACTACACTTTAAAATATGCTCTCATTCAAATTTCAAAGATTTTAATATTTACTACATACCAATTGACTCCTCAAATGCAAAAAGAACTTCTTTCCCATTTTCCAGGAGGTCTTTTATCCTACTTCCAATCCATTTAAAACCTGGTAATGTTTCCTGAAATGAAGAGAAGGCCATTCTAAGTAAGTGACTCCTCATAGACATATAGAGAGAACGGCCTCTCACTAAATGCATGTAACACTTTCATAGTGATCTTCTCTAATGGCTTTTGGTCCACACAGATTTATACCGTACTAAGCACATAGCCAGGAAGTGCTCAGATTCATATTGCCATGACTGATAACATACTATTTATTGAGCACAGAAATAGCTGACTTAAACCAAATAGAATCCAACATCTGTAAGTGGGGATCCAGACAGTCACAGAGTAACATAAATACATACATTATGATTATCTACTATTTATCAAGCATCATTAACAGGCGCTTTATATCATTGTCTCTTTTAATGCTCATAAAAACTCTGTTGCTGAAACACAGGCTCAGAGACTCAGTGAGTTTGCCTAAGACTATGCTGTACATAAGAGATGGAGCCAGGATTCACCTACACTGCTTCTCAGAAACTGTCCTTGGGTCTGTATTATAAGTACAATATAAGAGAACCTATGAAGCTTGTGATTTAGTCCCCCTTGGGTTCTTAATGATGCACTTTCATCATTATCACAGCGTATGCTTAAACCAAGTGTCCCTTACCATAACACCATGGAGTAAATAAAACCAAGAAAGTTACTAAGCCCTTCTTTTTTGTTTTTGTTTTTGTTTCTGTTTTTTTTTATAAACATATAATGTATTTTTAGCCCCAGGGGTACTGGTCTGTGAATCGCCAGGTTAACACACTTCACAGCACTCACCATAGCACATACCCTCCAGCCCTTCTTTGTAATTAGGTCCGAGGACTTTTCATCTGATGAGCTACTGTTCACTTTAAAGACATGAGCTATTGTAGAGTCAACAGAAAGAGCATGTGATAGACACTGACTCTAGAACTCACCATTAGTAACTTAACGATTCCCAATTTACCTCTCTACTTCCTCAGTGGGAAAAAATAAAGCTAAAACCTTTGCTGCCATCCCCAGAACCAACAAAAAACACAAGGAAGCAAATTTATAATACTAGTCTTTAGGATCATGTTCTCTTTTGTGCTCATTATACATTTTTTTGCCATAAATATTAATGAGGAAAATGTTAACATTACCATAATTCAAAATCTTAGGCTTGAATAAATTTTCAATTTATGCTCTTTAGCAATTTGTTGTTGTTGTTTTTAAGATTTTATTTATTTATTTGACACAGAGAGAGAGATAGAGAGCACAAGTAGGCAGAGAAGCAGGCAGAGAGAGAAGGAAGCAGGCTCCCCACTGAGCAGAGAGCCTGATGCAGGGCTTGATTCCAGGACCCTGAGATCATGACCTGAGCCGAAGGCAGAAGCTTAACCCACTGAGCCACCTAAGCACCCCTATTGTTTTTTTTAAAGTAGGCTCTGTGCTGGGTGTGGAGCCCAACACAGGGCTTGAACTCAGGACCGTGAGATCAAGACCTGAGCTGAGATCAAGAGTTGGATGCTTAATGGACTGAGTCACCCAAGCACTCTGGTATTTGTGTTTTTTTTTAAGCCTGAGATTGAAAGTTCTATTTCATTAAAACAGGTATAGTTTTTTTTTTTAAATTCAGCCAATTAATGTTAAGACATAGCTTGGCTGTGGCTCAAGAAAAATGCCCAGCAGTGACATCTGCACTGATATTTGACAAAGATGATGGAGGAAAGGCAATTTAATTGGCATCAATCCCAGAAGCTATAGAAATTGTTAGCTTAACTCTCTACGGCTCACGAAAGTTAATGATCTGTGCTGAGAGAGAGTTATTACTTGTTTTTTGGATATAGAATCATTAGGTCTTAACTTAAAATTTAGAAGACTAAGTTTCTTTTCTTTTTTTTTTTTTTAAAGATTTTATTTATTTGACAGAGAGAGATCACAAGCAGACAGAGAGGCAGGCAGAGAGAGGGAGGGAAGCAGGCTCCCTGCTGAGCAGAGAGCCCGATGTGGGACTCGATCCCAGCATCCCTAGATCACGACTCGAGCCAAAGGCAGCGGCTTAAACCACTGAGCCACCCAGGCGCCCCTAGAAGACTAAGTTTCTTAAGACTGAACTTGAAGAGCCTAAATAATGGTCGTGATTATTTTTTGGAATGGAGTTTTTGGAATGGAATGGATTATTTTTTGGAATGGAGTTTATGTTACTGATGAGGTCACTAGGTGCTAGATTTTCTTAGTATGAAAACCAGATTTTGTTGTATGGAATAATAAGCATTAATGCGATTTTTAAAGAATATCTTATCGCAGTTCCAGAAATTCACATACTGTATGGATGGACTTGGCTCAAGGTGTCTAAACTGTCACAAGATTAAGCAAGTGTTAACATAATTAGAAAAAAGGGGAGGATTTTAAATCAAATCAATATAAATTACTTTTGGTGGGGAGGTGGCTTTAATGTATAGAAATTGATTTAGAAAAGTAGCACACAGATATTCTCTGTTCTTACTTCAAAATGAAATCCTTCTTTAAGTGCAATTGCCTTCAAAATTTTGGAAGACACTGTGGTGGCTAACATATAAACATTCTTCACATCAGCATTTCTTGATGTATTTTTCTTCCAGCAGTCAAACATCCACCACCCAAACAAAGCTGCCAACTCGTTCCCTGTGAAAACTTTCCAATGACCACTGTAGAGAGAATGAAGATTCAAGTCAAGACTTTTATAACTTCTCATTAAAATTTCTTGACACTTAGACATATAAATTACCATCCTTCATATATGAAAATCCAAAAGCTATTATATGAGATTTTTGAGAAAATGTTTAGGATTATTTCTAGCTCACCAAGGGTGAATTTAGGGTAGAAATGGCAACAATGTCTATTGAAAAATTATTACACTGTAACTTTTGTTCCTGTACTTAATGAAAGAAAAGTTATAATATGATGTCCTTTCTATATAAGGACATTTGTCACAACATATAAGGGCAAAAATACACTGCAATCCAAAGGACCAAGATTAGAAAATGATTATATTGATAAAGCAATCTGTTGGGATATCATGTCATTTTATAATATTTTAAACAATATTTAAGGACTGAAAAAAGTGTTCATGGTACAATAACAAATGGGAAACAAGATATAAAAATATATGTAGCATGATAATAATTTTATAAAAACAAATATGTCTTAAGGAAATGTCAAAATATATACCTAGGGGTTATCTTTGGATAGTGGACTTAACAGGAGAATTATTTTCTTATTTTTTTATTATTTTGAGTGAGCCTGTAAGACTTAAAAATCAAAACCTCTTTTTCAAAGCTTAAGCTTTTAATTAAATAACAGGCTTTACTTACTTCTCCTGAAGTTCTGCCACTGCCAGCCGGTCTGCGTCAGGATCTGTAGCTAGCACAATTCGGGCATTTTCTTTCTCTGCCAGTCTCAAAGAAAGTTCCTGAAATAATGAGCCAAATCACCAGATTGTATTCCAGATGTTAAATTCAAAGTTAATACTCCTACTTATAGGCACTATGTTAGTTGACATAAATTTTAGAATGAATACAGTTTGACTAAATTTAGTAAATAAGCCTAGAAGTAGGGATATCCACTACAAAGATTTCAAATAAAACAGAATATATGGCTCCAATAGAAATTAAATTATGTCAATGAAGGTGGTTTCTGCCTTTGTAAGTAATCTTTGAATTGTCAATGAGTTCTATTTGATGAAGTTTAATACACTAATAATAATTTAAATAAAGGAAAAAAATACCAGCACAGATTCTCCTTCTTCAGGATTTGGGCATTTAACGGTAGAAAAGTCTGGATCAGGATCTTTTTGTTCTGGTACTGGAATTGGAGGCTTAAAACCAAACACCTGAAAAGCCAACTGCACATAGTCATGTCCAACCCCATGGAAAGATGTATGTACAAATTTCAAGGTGGTCTTTGAGTTTAATTCCCTGTAAAGGAAAAGAGTTATTCAATTGATATCATAAAACTTGGTACTTGTGGTAAAATTAAAATCAGCTATAGAGAAGAAGCTAAAATCTATTTTTTTGGATGAAGAAAAGATACTCAGCAAGCCAACGGCTTTCTAGCAATAGCATTAGCTATTTATGGAATAGTTATGAAAATATGGAAATAAGGCAAAATCAAATTTTAGAGAAAATTTCCTAATCTCGTATAGAGAATACATATATTTAGCTATAACTTTAACAGTATTATTAGTAATTAGTAATTAATATACTATACAATTCACGTATTTAAAGTGTACAATTCAATTCAATTTCACTATATTCATAGATTATTCATTCATTACCATAATCAATTTTAGAAAATTCTCACTATTGCCAAAAGAAACTCTACCCCAGAGCTGCCATCCCCTAACATTCCCATTCCTCCTAGCCATAGGCAATCACTAATATACTCTGTCTGTTTCTGTCTCCATTGATTTGCCTTCTCTGGACATTTTATATAAATGGAATCATATAATATGTGGTCTTTTGTGATTGGCTTCTATCACTGAGCATGTTTGCAAAGTTTATCCATGTTGTTGTTTGTATCAGTATTTCTTTTTATAGCTGAATAATATTTCATTGTATAGATATAGCACAGTTTATTTATCCATTCATCACTTGATGGATATTTGGGTTATTTCCACCTTTTAACTATGGTGAATGGTACGATTTCACTATCTTTTTAATATAATGAACAGCCAACACATCTTTATCCCTGTTTCTTTTCTTTATTTGTTAATCTTCTTATATGATAATGTTATCCCTATATTTCCATTGGATACCTGTGAAAACATATCTTTTTAAGATCTTCCATGTATCTTCTGCAAATGTCCCGCAGAGGATCTCTCTTCAGTGGGCTGGTATCCACTAAATTATCATTCCAGGAACCATTCCAAGGTTCCACACATTCTTCTATACATTTCAGAATTTCTTTATCATGAGGAGATGTGATCTGAGCACCAGTTTCCCAATAAACCTAGATGATAGGTAAATACAGCTATAAGTAGTTGAAATGTTGGCCAGATATTTTTAGCTACAGTAGAGATACTTGGCTTTACATAGAAGTGTTCCAAGTTAATTAAGTAGAAAATATCAACATGGGACTAATTTAATACCAAAGGATGTCCATGATAATGATTCTACAGGGACTCTTCAATAAAGTGATAATGTATTATTTTCATTTTTAGAAGTGTACTTTAATAAGAGTACAAGTAAAATAAAATCAGGGCATCATTATGACAACATATTAATATGCATATGCCATAGTATCCAATCATACTCTTAGATTTATAACTATATACTAAAGATAATCTAAGAAATCATGGATATCCATAAAATTTCATACTATAAAATTTTAGCATTAAGTAGTTCTGTTATATAGAAGAAATTATTTTTCAGATATAAATTAGAATACATGTCATAACAGACAGTGTCTATATCAGGAAATATAATTAGCATATTAATTATATATACACATTTCAGTATATGTGTTTTCAGTACTTAATGAATGAAAATACATTTCATTAAGCTGTCAGTTTGCTAAGTATTTTGATCAACAAGACATTAGGAACAGTTAACAAGAAAAAGTCAATAAAGTGTACTTCTATAATTCATAGGATCTCAAATTTAGAAGACACTTTGCTTAGAGAATATCCATAATGACTTCTACCAAATATATGACAGGACTACCGTCTTCTGCCTCCTGAATGAAGGAAAGAAGAATACATTTGAATATGTACTATGTACTAAGCTCAGTGTCAAACAAGATGGTAGACAAGATGACCTGAAAATTCTCACTCTATAAACATTTTGAAATGTTAGCTAATGTTAGAAAAACATTATCTAAAATGCATAGGTCAGTTCATAAGAAGAAAAGGGAAAACTCCAGGCAGTGGGAAGAAAGGAAAACCAGAGTGATATAAGGTTGTGGAGCTGACGCTGTGACTGCCTGGAGTTTGGGAACTGTCTATTTATTTGGTTTTTGAGTTGTAATACTCATGTGGAAGGTAGGAAATTGGAGACCTGAGACTCCCCCCATCCCCGATCAGTGGAAATACAGAATAGAAGTCCTGCCCATTATTATAGGTGAGGAAGGATGTGTGTTCCGGGGTATTTTTAAAAACTTTTAAATCTGAGATCTCAGTTAATATAGAAATTGCTCCCAGTCAGTGAAACTCCTGGTTCCTGCAGAAATTAAAAAACGTGGCGCCTGTGTGGCTCAGTGGGTTAAAGCCTCTGCCTTCGGCTCAGGTCATGATCCCAGGGTCCTGGGATCGAGCCCCACATCGGGCTCCCAGCTCACCAGGGAGCCTGCTTCCTCCTCTCTCTCTGCCTGCCTCTCTGCCTACTTGTGATCTCTGTCCGTCAAGTAAATAAATAAAATCTTTAAAAAAAAAAAGAAATTAAAAAACAAAACAAAACAAAACCAATAACTGCTCTGAGTGATGTTCCCACATCCCAAGCCACAAAAAAGATTCTATCCATAGGCCCTGAAGGTTCACCATGAAAATTTATAAAACATGAGAAAAAACTCCTAGCCTTTGTCCTTGCCCATTTCTTCTTGCCTTTGTATATGGATGTGATACCTAGAGGTATAACCATTATATGATGTTCACACTTGAAGGAAAGTCCAAAAAAGACTGCAGAAAGATGCCAGGCCCAACAACACTGAGCTACAGAATCCCACTAGTAGCCACGTACCCTGGACTTAACTTCATGTGTGAGAAATATTCCTATCAGCTTAAACTGACAGAAAAACCCATAAGTTTTCCAAATCTGTAGCAGAAAGTATACCTATCTGATATAATAACAGAAAAATCCATGCAACAAAATATACCCATGAACAAACTTTAAAAGAAATATTTGAAAGGGGCGCGTAGTGGCTCAGTTGGTTAGGCGTTTGACTCTTGATTTCAGCTCAGGTTATGATCTCAGGGTCTTGAGATGGAGCCCTGCCTTGGGCTCCACATTGAGCATGGAGCCTGTTTAGGATTCTCTCTCCCTCCCCTTTTGCCCCTCCCTTCCAATCCCGTTTTCTCCCTCTTAAAAAAAAAAAAATTCTTAAAATATGAAAGACCTATTAAAAATATTTAAAATGTTACTAAAGTATATAATAGAAGCCTTGAAAGAACAGAAAGATACATCCTGTTCATGAATGAAGAGACTCAATAAATATTATAAACATATTGAAGCTTCCTAAATTAATCTACAAATGAAATATGATACCAATAAAAATGCCAAATAACCTTTTTCCCAAAATGGAAAAAATATAATAATATCATGCATGGAAAAATATAAATAAAGTCATGATATGGGGGGGGGGAAATATCTGCAAAATATTGAGGTATTTTGATGATAGGGTATATTTGATGACCAAGAGCTACTTTTTATATATAAAGAGCTTCCACAAATCACTAAGAAAAAGAGCAATAATCCAAGAGAAAAATGGACAAAACCTTTAACAGACATCTCAGGAAAGGGAAAACAAATCTAATGCAAATAAATGAAAAGATGTTCTACCTTACTCCTAAAACAGGTGCAGATTAATCATAACACTCATCTATCTGATTGGCAAAGACCAAAATGATAATATGGGAGGTATGGGATAAAGACCTTTTACACTGTTAGGGAGAGTATCAGTTGGTACAACCACCTCTAAAATAAAGAGTGACAAGTTTTCTTTCATACTGCTTTGACTCAAAAGTTTCACTTCTAGAAATTTATGATATCGATCAACAATGCCATAGAAATACAATGTAAGCCACAAATGCAAGCCACTTACATAATTTTAAAGTTTTTAGTAACCACATTAAGATAAAAAGAAACAGGCATAATTAATAGTAATATACTTCATACAGCCCAATATATCCAAAATATTATCATTTCAACATGTAATCAATATAAAATTAATGAAATATTTTACATTCTTTTTTCATAGTAAGTCTTTGAAATCTGGTGTGTATTTTACACTTTCAGCACACCTCAATTCAGACTAGTCATAGTTTAAATGTTCAATAGCCATAGGTGGCTAGTGGCTACAATATTGGACAGTGCAGCAGATGAAAAAAATACAAGCAACAGCTAACATTTATTGAGCACTGGGCATTTTTCCTGCAATATCTCCTCTAATCCTCACTCTCACTCTATGACCTTGGTTCTATTATTATCCCTAGTTTGCAGATGGGGAAACTAAAGCACAGAGAAATGAGCTTCTGAGTTGCACAGACAGGTTTTATTTCTTTACTTTTTAAAGATTTTATTTATTTATTTGAGAGAGAGAGATCTTATTTATTTATTTGAGAGAGAGAGAAGCAGGCTCCCCACTGAGCAGGGAGCCCAATGCACGGCTTGATCCCGTGATCCCAGGATCCTGGGATCATGACCTGAGCCAAAGGCAGACACTTAACCTACTGAACCACCCAAGTATCCTACAGTCAGGTTTTAAACCCAACCCAAAGTTCTAACTACTATTCCATACTAATTATATAAATCTACTTGCACATATGAACAAAGACATATGTAGAAGAACATTCTTTGTAGCACTGTTTATAAATAGCAGAAGATTAGAAACAAATGAACTGTTCACCAACAGAGGATTGCTTAAGTAAATCAGGATTGTGGGGAGCCTGGGTGGTTTAGTCTGTTAAAAGTTCCACTCTTCATTTTGGCTCAGATCATGATCTCAGGGTCATGAGATCGACTCCACATTGGGCTCCATGCTCAGCATGGAGCCTGCGTGAGTGAGATTCTTTCTCTCTCCCTCTCCCTTTGTCCCTCCCCCAACCCATGTGTTCTCTTCCCCACTGAGCAGGGAGCCTGCTTCTTCCTCTTCCTCTACTCCTCTCTGCCCTTCTCCTGTTCTCTCTCTCTCAAATAAATAAAATATTTTAAAAAAATAAATAAAATAAAATAAATCAGGATTTGTTATATAGACTTTTAAAGATGAATGAGGCAGACCTATCTCCCTATCAATTGACTAAGAGAATGATCTCTAAGATTGTTCCATACTGTTGTGTGAAAAAAGGTACAGAACACTCCATATAGTACTCTGCCATTTATGGGGAAAAAATGTGGGAGTGAGAGTGACAAATACACATATGATTACATGTGCTGGGGGGAAACTAAAACCAGAAACTGTATTTGGTTCTGAAAAGGGGTATGGGGCAGGTGGAGGGGGAGGAATGGGAGAGATACTTTTTACGTTTAGCTTTATACATTGTTTAACTTTTATCCTTTTTAACTTGTGTGTATATTTTAAGGAAAAAAAAAAAAAACCTTTGAGGCTTTCCTATGTGACAAATATGTTCACTAGCAATGAACATCAAAACAGACCAAGTCCCTTCACCCATGAGTTTATATTGGGGAACAGGGTTAGAGAAGGTCAAACAACTCAATAAAGAAAACAATTCATTTTCAAGAAAACAGATCATCAGACAGCGATAAGCTCTGTGAAGGAAATAAACAAGATGATGAGAAAGTCATTGAGGGAAGCCACTTCAGATAAGGTGGCCTGGGAAGGTCTCTTCAAGGAAATAACATCTGGGCAGGAACCTGAAGGATAAAAATAAACAAATCTGCAAGATGAAGGCAAGAGCAATGCAAGCAGAGCCAAAACCATTTACAAAGGCTCAGAGATGGGAGAGGGCTTGGTATACTGGCAGACGAAGGAACAGGAAGAAGTGGGAGTGTGACTAGAACACAGTGAGCACAGAAGAGGAATGAATGAAATTAGGTTGGAGAGGTAGGCAGGATTCTGTAAACCCCAAGGTAAGGAGCTTGGATTTTATCTGGAGAATGAGAAGTCACTGGAGAATTTTAAGCAGGGAAGTAACATGACCTGTTCATATTTTCAAAGATCACCTGGCTGCTTGGTGGAAAATGGATTTTAGGGAGAACAATGGGAGCAGGGAAGAGACCAGCCAGGATGCTGTAGCTCTGATAGAAGATAACCATGCTTTAGAATGGTGGAGGTAGAAGTGAGCAGAAGCAAACATATTCCAACATACATTTTAGATGTAGAATTTGTAAAACCTGTTAGTGAGTGAAATGTTAGGAGTGAAGGGAAAGGAGTAATCGAGAATAATTTTTGGTTTTTGGTTGGGTGAGTGGTAGTGTCCATCTATAGAGATGGTAAAGAATGGGAAAGGAACACACTGGGGCATGTATGTGAGAGGCTGTAAGGGAATTAAGACCTCTATTCTAGAGACACTAATTCTGAAATATCTGTTAGACATCCCAATGGATTTAGGAGTCTCATCTGATGTCAGAGGAGAGATCTGGGTTCTCAGCTCTCTTCGACAGCTGACTACCACTTCTTTGCAATTCTCTTCTTTTCCCTTTGGTTTTGATGGCACTAATCTCTTCTGGTCTTTCTCCTATCTCCTGCACTTCTTTCTTCCTTCCCTTGAAGTTGGTATTCCCTAGGGATCTCTTTTGGGCTTGTTTTTTACTATAAACTATCTCTGGGCCACATATCTAAGTAAAAGACTTCCAAATACCCTTACATCTTACATGTCCTAATATATATCATGGCCCCCAAATCTGTAACTTTAGCTTAGATTTCTCCCCCATCAACAGATCTATATATCCAGTTGCCTACAGGATGTTGCTACATGGTTGACTCACAAATACCTCAAACTTAGTATGTCCCAAACTGAATTAATCATGCTTCTTCTTTGCCTCTGTGCATGGTAACACTACCCATTTAGCTAGCTAGGGCCCAAATCTCAAATTAGTATTAAATCTTCTTTTCCCCAGTAAAACAGAGCTCAGTGTACCTGAAGACCTCCCATACAAGAAGAAAAACAAATATAAGGTCATGCACTCATCACCCAGGAACCCCAGACACTGGCTCAATAATGTGCTGTATCCTCTCTTGCCAGTCTTCACCCTTCTCCACCCTGCTTCCTGCCATGGAAGCTGACACATCACATGGATCCTTTGTCCCAGTATAAGACTGGAGGGAAAGGAGAGTAAGATCAAGTTTCTCTTGCTCTCCTCCTGCAAACTCTCATTCATTCTTTAAGTTCTCAGTACAATATGACTTTGTTTCTAAAATGGTAGATGGGGTGGATTTGGGGATAGGATGGGGATATCAAAGGCAGGAATATACTAGAAGCAAAAAGACCACTGAAGAGATTTTCATAGTCATACACATTGAGAAATAATAAAGGTCATTAGGGAAAAACATCCTTTGAGGGCTGGCCTTCATGTTTTTATCTGCCTGTCCCCAACATCTAAGCCTGCTCCTCAGTAATGAGAATATACTCAGCATATATTATTTTAAAAAATCAAAATCTAAATAAATAAATAAACAAATAAACAGATAAAATAAGAACTGTGAAATAAGCAAATATCCGGAGTCCCAGGTTTACCTTATATCCATTGTCTTCTTTGCGGTTGTGAGAAGCAGTAATCATCACACCTGCAACTGCTTTGAGCTCCTGAACTGCATATGGCTGAAAAAACAGTAATGCCATAATTCCATTTTGCTTTCCAGCTACTTACACATTTGATATAAGAATAACCTTGATTAAGTAACAGGAGAAGGCATTAAGACATAAACAGCCTATGACTTCAACAATCAACTCCAGATACACTGGCTGGGATATAGCTAAAGCCATCTAACTGTTAGGTCACCAGTAGCCACTTAGCTATTAGACTGAATGGCTTTTTCCTCCTAGTCTAATTTACCTTAGCCCTATAAACTTTTCTTTTCTTTTTTTTAATTTAACAGATATTTAATGAACACTTACTATATGCCAGACTCCGAAAATACGAATTATGAATATAATCTTAAAAATGTTAGTGGGAGTTAATTTAGGAATCACCTAATCTATCACATTTTACACATTATAAAATCATAAGGGAGAAGATTCAAGGGTAGAATAACATAGGTCTACTGACTTCCAATTTGAAGATCTTTATATATATTCCATGACTCTTATAACATATACAGGTCAAGTCACCATCTTCTCTCCCAAAGTTAATTTCCAGGTTAGATTTCCCTTTTTCTCTCTAGTAGTTACTATTTGTCAGCCTAGGATATCCCTCCTACCCCTTCTACCATCACTTCTGATTTCTCTTCTCCTGGCCATAGGGAACAAAAGATCCAGGTCTGACCAGAGTAATTTATTCCCCTGATGATATGATTCAGAGACTGGCTCATAACCACCCAAGCCTGGTCAGGGTCCTTCCCCAGGATGTTTCTTCTGCAGCTAGTCAAAGAGAATTGCCAAGGAGGACCACTAAAAATATCTTCCTTACATATTAGAGTAAATCTACCTGTAATGAGAGAGGAAGGCTAACATACCGGAATTGATAGTATTTGGAATTGGCAACCCAATGGCAGAATCCTACAGACATGCTCTAGATTTCTGAACCCTTCCTGTTTTCTGTCATTCGTTAGAACTAATTGTTTAGTGATTCTTTCACTTCTTTGAACGACTCAGTATATTTCCAGTGAATCACTAGAATGGTTTATAAAGACGTTATCTATTTCTCAAATATTTGGGAAAACTGGCCTAATAAAATTATCTGGACCTGCCATTTTTAATTTGAGAAGATTAAAAAAAAAATACCAGTTGAATTTCTTTAATGGTTATAATTCTCTTCAGGTTTTCTATTTCTTATTAGTTTTGATGTATCAATTATTCTAGGAAATTGGCTAATTTCATCTAAGCCTTCACATTTATTTGCATTATGTTCAGAATACTGTGGTTTTCTTAATCTCTAGTATATATATTATGCTCCCTTTTAATTTATCGTATCTTTTTTTCTTGAACATCTTTGCAAAAGTTTTGTCTATTTTTATTAGTCTCTTCAGAGAGTCAACTTCTGCTTTTAGTCATACCTGTTTTTAAAATATTTCTATTTAATCAATTTTTTCCTCAGACCTTCACTATTTTCTTTCTTTTACTTTATTTAGATTTAATCTGTTTTGACTATAACATACTAAGCTCTTTATTTTTTCATCCTCCCTTTTTCTAATATGTTCATTAAGGCTATATATTTCCCTTGAAGTAGGGCTTTAGTTATAGTCCATAATTTTTGCTATTTACTGTTTTCATTGTGGCTCAGTTTCAAATACAGGTAGTCCTTGCTTTGCACAATTCCAAAACACATGAATTTCTGATACCATATTTTAGTTAAATAACACCCAACAATACAGTCAACAACAACACAATTTCCCAACAATGCATTCAAATTTCAGTTACCATGGTATATTAACTGTGAGAAACCGTATCAAGTGCAAACTTGCTAGCTCTTCAGTCCATAAATAATATGTATATAAGAGATCCGTCATGACCAGTGACCAATCACGTCACTCTGTTAAAGTCTGCCAGTGACTTGTGCATCTGTTATCAGCTCTAAACAGACAGCAAAGCATGTAGTTGTGTTGCCTACTTAACTCCATGGGATAGTTTGCAAAAATGGATAACTGAAAGAAGGAACTGGCCAAGAAAGATTAGAGGGTAGAAAAGGAACAAAAAGTGACAACAATGGAAGGGAAATTTAAATCAAACATAAGTGGAATTACAGAAGAAAATAGCTGGGAATGATGACATTGCTGTCATTCAAGAGATTTTCAATGTGCAACCAGATGAGCTTAGTGTAGGTGAACATATGGATATAAGTGAGGAATGTGCTTGTGATGAAAAGGATGAAGATGTCCTGGGGGAAGTGATATTGGCAAAAAAACTTCACATTAAAGGAACTCTCAGAGAAAAATCACAACATTGAAAGTACAACGGATACACTATGGGAAACTGATCCAAACTTATAAAGGAATGTGACAATTCACCGAGAAATAGAAAGGATGCTCACTCATATTAAGTTATACAATAAGAAGCACATGTTGTTCATACTTTCTTTACCTATCTATCTAGCCCAACATGGGGCTCAAACCCATGACCCAAAGATCAAGAGTTGCACATTCTTCCAACTGAGCCAGCTAGATGCCCCTGTCCTCTTCATACTCTTGATAAATTTTTTTTTTACCAAGAAATAAAACACTTTATTCTCAATGTTTTTAATGTTTTAATAACAGTGTACTATATAAGCATTAATTTTACTATTTTTATAAACAATATTTACTATTGTTCAGTGAAAATAAACTCAGAGCAAAATTTGTTTTCCTTCCTTTTGTCCTTCATATCACTTAATATATAACTATAAGCATGACAAAGATTTGAATCCCAGTTGAATTAAGAAATCTTTTTAGGAGCAACAAAGTGTACAATCAATAACATGACACACTTACTACAAAAGGTGTAGGAACATATCTTGAAAAAAGGTACACAGGAACATCTTTGGCTAGTAAGACTGCAGCAGTGAGTTTAGCAAGTCTAAAAACAAAAATAGAGATTTCACTTAGTCCTTAGCTTACCACACATTTTAAAACCCAACCCTCCACAAAATAAATGTTTCATATTGTAATTATTCTGAATATGTAGTAGCCTAATACAACAAATTCTTACAATCACTGGTTATTTAGGCTTCATGTCCCAACTTAAAAATGTTAAATAAGATTTTTTGAAAAGGAACTTAGTAAGAAATAGAACTGATATTTTAATTTTTCTTTTTCCTCATTCATCTTTCTTTACCAAGAAATAAAACCTGCAAAAGGCAAAAAGAATGGAGGAAAGTGAATTAAGAGAATTCAAGAAACAAAAATAATTAAACCCTGAAAAAAAATATTGCTATCTCCTGATTATCTATGTGTGCAAATGCCCTAAAACTAATTAAATGTGAGTACAATGAGAGAATACAAGTTATACGATCACTCCTACCTGATACTTGTGCCAAAATATTAAAATCATACCATAAACCATGATGTCATTCTAAATACTAACTCTAAATATTTAAAATTTTAATTCTGCCTGTAAGAGCGAAAGGTTATAATAGAAGCTTTAACACGCTTCCATTTCAGCTCTAAAATCAACATCAGCATGTGATCACATTTCTAGTTGACAGTTTCCTGTTTCAGAAATCCTACCACTAATTGTTTTTAAGGTTTTATTCCAGTCCAACTTAATCTCTGAAACAATTCACACTGTACCTCTGGCTGCTGCAGCTGCTAGTTACTTGACCCCGGGTGTCATACCCAACAACAAAGCCTCTCTGCTTGAAGTCTGAGAAACATCTTTCAAGGTATTTGTACATTCCCTGAAGCAGATAAACACAAAAGATTAGTTCCTGACTAATACCTGCATTTTCCACCATTTAAAATCCATTATTTTTATGTGTTGTGTGCAGTTTATTGGCTCATAGGGAACTGGCTTCCACCTTTATGCTCGTGTTTACCAGTGTGGGAATAATACTGTTCAGTCCTCAAATCTGAGAGGACAAACATTTATTCCCTCAAGTGTCAGACACATTTAATACCACAGAAATATCAATTAAGTAACTATGAAAGCCAATACGATACATAAAACATTAGGGGAAAAAGAAGGGATAAGAGAGTCAGTATGGTTAAAAAAAAAAAAAAATTGTTAGAAGAACCAAAAGATATTGTTTCTTGCCTTATGGCTGTAGACAACAGAATTTTGACCATTTTAGGCCCTGCTAAATCTCAAGACTGAAGCCAAACAAAAGATTTGACCTATTCATGACACAAACATTTTAAATCAGCAACATAAACCTTCATTAGAACATTTCCTTCTTTCTTTCTTCCTTTCTTCCTTCCTTCCTTCCTTTCCTTTCCTTCCCTTTCCTCTTCCCCTTCCTTCCTTCCTCTTTCTCTCTTTTCTTTCTTTTCCTTCTTCCTTTTCTTTTCTTTCTTTCTTTCTGTCTGTCTTTCCTTTCCTTCTTCCTTCCTCCCTCCCTCTCTCCCTTTCTTTCATTAATTTTAAGTAACCTCTACACCCAACACGGGGCTCAAACCCCCAACCCCAAGATCAAGTGTGCACGTTCTATCAACTTAGCCACCCAGGTGCCCCATTAGAACATTTCTTTTTTCCTTTTTTTTTTTTTTTTTTCATTAGAACATTTCTTAAGATGGCTGATCCCATTTGCAATTCCTTAGTTCTAAAATCTCACAGAAAGAAAATTTCATAAACTAGGAAAATTTGCAGCCAATGGCGACAAAAAAAGAAATGAAAGTATTTAATACTGAAAACATCATAACAATAAATTAGAACCATTTAAGTGTCCTATGAATGATTTGCTAACTTTAATAAATGCTTTCATCTCTAAAAATAACACTTCATATTGTATAGTCCTTTAAAACCACTTTCACAAATGTTGGCACATTTAATCCTTACAACCCCAAAAAGAAAAAAATGAAGATACCTTGCCTATTTTTGTCTGCCCTTCAACATCTTTTCAAAGAAAAGAGCAGACAGAATAGACTGAAGCTCCACTCAATGACTTGCCCAAGGCCTAAATTCATCTAAATTTACTGAAGGCTACTATATGGCAGGCACAGCTAAGACTGTATGTGGCAGCACCTAGAGGCCCCAGTGACTTCTGGACCCCTCTTTCAGATATAATTATTCTTTCCAACCTACTCCTGAAAGAGAACCTCAAACACCTCCCTTTTGGCCTTAGTCTATACTTTGTATTTGATTAAGCTCTTCTCTCCAGCTAATCTCTTAAATCAGGCAAAAACCCCAGCTGGCAAAACATCCTGTGATGGGAACCAAAACTACCTACCCCTCCAATAATGCCAGCAAGACCCTGCATGAGTGACCCCAAGACAACGATTGACCTGACCTTTACTGCCCACCTGCACATACCCACTACTTTTGTCCTACACTTTCCTTATATAAACGTAGAAATTTTTTCAGCCCTTTGGAGACAGTCTTTGAGATGTTAAGTCCACTGTCTTCCTGGTGTTGGCCACACTGAAATTCCTTTCTTGTTTCACCACCACTCTGTTTCTCCGCCTTTGGATTTTGTCAGCAGCAAGTGGCCGAACCTGGGCTGCTTAGGATCTCCAGAGTCTGGTGCTCTTGCACCACTGCGCTCTGGTTACACTCCCTGGGACTGTGGGTGTGAGTCTGTGGATGTGTGCGTGCACGCATGCTTGCTATAGCCCACGCTGGTTAGTTTCACCAATTTATTTATTTCTAAAGATGATGCTATCCTCAAATCTCACAGAACTTCCTACTATTCTCTGGTTTAAAAATCTACCTTTGCTGGGCGCCTGAGTGGCTCAGTGGGTTAAGCCACTGCCTTCGGCTCAGGTCATGATCTCAGGGTCCTGGGATCGAGTCCCGCATCGGGCTCTCTCTCAGCGGGGAGCCTGCTTCCCTCTCTCTCTCTCTGCCTGCCTCTCTCTCTACTTGTGATCTCTGTCTGTCAAATAAATAAAATCTTTAAAAAAAAAAAAAATCTACCTTTGCTTATCCCCATAAACCTAGATTCTGAAAAGGGATAGGGCTTAAGAATCAGATTCCATTAGGCTTTTCACTTCACATAATGGAATCTCAACTCTAGTAACAATTTACATTTCCATAGAAAATGATTTTGAAACACCTCCTCCAATCCTTTTTGTAAAGTCAAGGAATATTCCTTTATTAAAAGCTTATAAGGAAATAAATTTATTAAAAAGAGTGAGCTGACACATCTCTCGATGAGGGAAAGAAAGGAGACGGGTGCAGAAGTGGCACGTATCCTACCTCTTTAGTCATCTTGTCGTCTGTTCTTCCCCATCCCCTGCATTAGCCTTTGCCTTTAGAGAATTCCCTCAGAACAAGGCTAAGAATGATTTACTGTTGACGCTATTGATTAGAATTATATCTTTATATCTACTGAGCAATCCTCCAGTCCAGAACTATTTTTAGTATATGCTAAATGCATTTTAGCCTCAAAAGTATACAATTCCTTGAAGCAGTAGGAATGATTCACTAGAAAAAGAAAGTAATCTGTTTCTATGTTGCATAAAAATGGGGAGAAATAAATTATATTATATCATAAGCTGTTTTAAGGAACTCTCATGGACTATAAGAAACAAACTGGGGGTTGCTGGGGGAGAGGTGGGCGGAGGGGTAGGGTAATTGGGTGATGGACATTAAGAAAGGCATGTGATGTGATAAGCACTGGGTGTTATACACAACTGATGAATTATTGAACTCTACATCTGAAACTAAGGACATTTTATATGTTGACTAATTGAATTTAAATTTAAAAAACCTCTCATGGATATGGGCACTCTTAAAGAACTCTCATGGATATGGAAAACCATATTAAAGGGAAATGTTTTTAACTACATTTTCCAAATACTCTGGTTAATCTTTATCAATGGCCATATGCCAAAATGAGTAATTCTCTTTTTTCTAAGTTTGTTTCTTTCTATCAGTTGGAAATGTCAATATCCATTTCCTGATTTCAAATGCAAATTAACAATGTCAAGAGTTTGAATATGGTCACCAAAAGAACTCAATCAGAAAGTTAGTCTATAACCTTGAAGATACACAAATGCCTTCTAAAATAAATCTTATGCAAGACCAAAGATCAGGATTTATTCCACATTTTTTACTTAAAAAAGTACCTTCCTAGATATAAAGTTTGTTTTTGTTTTTAGAAAGGCACAACCTAATTTAGAAAGCCAAAAAATAGTGTGATTAAAAAGTATACATATAGTACTTTGTAATTCTTACCTGTGTTGACTGTATTACTGTAAGGTCATTAATATAGCAAAATCCTGCCCCCATAGTAGAACGAAGTCCTGCAGTCCCAAAAGTCATTCGGCAACAAAGACGATCCCGGAGCTCCTTGTTCATCCCATTCCGTAACAGATTTTCAATCTGCTCTTTTGTTTTGGGATTCTATAAAAAAAAGGTATTAAGACTTAATCAGGATCACAAGCAGGGTCCTAATATGAAGCCCTTCTGAGGAGCCAGGAAGTGTTACGTATATATCACAAGGTTCTAGACACACTATAGATTCCACAGTGCTAATGATCAATATTAGTATGTATAATAAAATACCTGGCCCTTTATGGAGTCCCCCAAGGAGCCAGGCCCTTACTGGAGTCCATTTACATATCTCTAATTATCACAGCATTTTTTGGTAATACTATTCAAGAGTTTTTTAACAAATTGATAAACTTAAGAGCTATAAATCAAAAATAAGCCTCTTAGTCAAAAAATAACATTAATTAGAGTCTCTATGTAAAGTGTTAAAAGAAATGTGGAAGCTATTGGGTAAAAGCCATCAACAGACACTTATCAACCACTTCCCAAATCTCTGTGATTCAAAGTGACCAGATAAGTGTTCCTGCTCTTTAAAAAGTCACAGAATACCACTCAATGTATCCACAGTAAAGATGACCATGAAATGGTCTTAGATATTACTTGTGGACTTAGATAAGAATGAGAATGAAAATTCCATCCAAACTTGGCTTGCTGAGCAGGACACACCAACATCTACATTTTAGAATTCTGTGTTTCATTATCACATCTTTTACTTTATTTTCATAAAGCTCAAGGATGCCCCTGACTGAAATAGTACTTCACAAACAATTAACTTCAAACAGAAATGTAATAAAAAATTAGAATAAAATTTGTAGGGATTTTCCAGTATTTTCTTTTTAAGAGTCAGAGTCAGATATTATGAAAATAAAGTGAACCACAACTTCTCCCTTCCATACTTAGTGTAGTATGGATTTAGTCCATACTAACAACTTAGATCTTCTACGTCTATAGCCTATACAATAATGAATATTCCGAATGATAAACCAAGGCACCTACAAGGTGCTAAATATGAGAGTATATTTGCACTTGCAAAGAAATAAAAACATATTAATATATATTTAAACAGAAAGGGGGCACCTGGGTGGCTCAGTGGGTTAAGCCTCTGCCTTCGGCTCAGGTCATGGTCTCAGGGTCCTGGGATTGAGCCCCGAATCGGGCTCTCTACTCGGTGGGGAGCCTGTTTCCCCCCTCCCCCTCTGCCTGCTTCTCTGCCTACTTGTGATCTCTCTCTCTCTGTGTCAAATAAATAAATAAAATCTTTAAATATCTATATCTATATCTATATCTATATATATCTCACATAAAACCTTAAGGAATCTCCCTTTTATAAATGGCACACACTAGCAAATACACAGGCTATATAAGAATATGAATAGCTATTTTTTTTCAAGATTTTATTTATTTGAGAGAGAGAAAGAAAGCATGCCATGTGTACAAGCCAGGGAGGGGCAGAGGACCCTGAGATCATGACCTGTGCGTAAGGCAGACGCTTAACCAACTGAGCCACCCTGATGCCCCAAAATAGGAATAGCTGTTAAGATAAGAATCTAAACAATAAGATTACCTGTGCTACTATTTATTATTCTAATGTCTAAGATACCACCAGATTTGATAGAGGTCAAAGAGACTTGAAGAGGGCTAACACTTAAAAACAAATGTAAGGGGGGCCTGGGTCGCTCAGTGGGTTAAGCCTCTGCCTTAGGCTCAGGTCATGATCTCAGGGTCCTGGGATGGAGCCCCACATCGGGCTCTCTGCTCAGCAGGGAGCCTGCTTCCCCCCCTTTCTCTCTGCCTGCCCCTCTGCCTACTTGTGATCTCTCTCTGTCAAATAAATAAAATAAAATCTTAAAAAAAGAAAGCATAAGAATGGCAAAAATTAAACACTAAAAACACCTGCATTCTGTAGAGGGTACATGACAGTGACACATAGTTAGTGACACTGAAATTGGGGTAGTCCTGGGGGACCTGACTGGCTTAGTCAGAAGAGCATATGACTCCTGATCTTGGGGTTGAGTTTGAGCCCCACACTGGACACAGAGATTACTAAAATTAAATAAATAAACTTAATTTTAAAAATTGACGTAGTCGTTTTAGAGTTTGCAGCCACTATCAAAATTTAAACTGCATGTACATTTTGGCCCGTAAATTTCTCTGTCCACAGCAATATCTTCACCCAAACAAAAAGATTTATTCATGTAAGAATGTTGATTGCAGCATTTTACTGGTAGTAGTATTATTACCATTGCATTGATAAAGAACTTAAGATTTAGAGAGGGAGCCTAGTAACACTGAGCAAATATTAGAGGTCTAGATAGGATTTGAATCCAGGTTGGTCTGGCTCTAAATCCTATACCACCTCACTACAAACAACAAAACAATTATGTAGAGCAGGCTAATAATGCTTCTAATAATAATAAACTCCAACTATAAGGTAAAACATTATTCTTTTTAATTACAGCTAAATAAAAATGATCTACCAGACATGAATATTACTAGGTTACTGAGTACTTCCTAATGTTTAACTGCACAGCTACTAGAGTAGGGCCTAAAAATTCTATTCTCTGTTATAAACATCACAACCAGTCCTAACCTAATTCCTGGTTCTGAAAGAGCCTATAAATTAGAGAAAAATAAAAATGGATTAAAAACCATAATGCATTAGACATAAGTATATTTTTATTGTAAACAGTGCTAAGCGATTATAGTGACAGGCATATGAAATCTACTTTAGGTTTCTCCACTATTTCATAGGTAGATAATTTTAAATTAGATATTGATGTCTCAAATGTTTTAAAATATACCTAAAGGGCTCTCTATGTAGCCATGATTATATTTTCCATTCAGATGAATTTGTATTTTTTTGTTGGTTTTTTTTTGTATTTTGTTGTTAAAATCTTCAAATGACTATGATTTTTATAAGCTATCATATATGAAGGTTCTAAAGAACTACAAATTATTTTTAAATACTATTTCCACAGAGAAGTCAGATGTATTAAGTGAAAAGAAGAAGTATGTATAAAGTGTTTTATCTGTGTAAAAAGAGGTATGTGTATACTTATATATCATTCCAGAAATACTCCATGCAAATGTAAGAAACTAAAAATAGTGATTATCTCTGATGGGGAAACCAGGAGTGAGGTCTGAGGTAGGTAAGTGACTTATTTTTATTGTACAGCCTTGGTACTGTTTGGATATTTTATGGATGTCTTACTTATTTTATGGTAAAAACTAGGTAAGTATCTATGATCGCTGAGGGAAAACTACTTGTGTGTCTACTTTTTACCTCACAAATTGTTCTTTTTAGAACAGCACCCACAGAGGGCTATTAATAAAACATACATTGGATCTTCCTCAAATACAAATTATTGTTTGCTTAATAAATGTGCTCCCTTATTGACAACGCACTCATTACTTGAGAGTAGGAACAGCCTAATCAGTCAAAAGAGAAAAAAAAATGATTCAACTGGTGTCAACCGTAAAGAAAGCATCTCTAAAATTATACTGTAAGTCTGTGGAGAAGTTATATGATGTACATACTTTTTGATAATGCACTTGTTGATCTACATATAAAATGAAAATTAATTATTTAGAAAGTAAATGCATTCAATCTGAACTAAATTTGCTCTTAACCAGTATATTTTAGAATCCTAATAATTTTAGTACCCCAAAAAAGTAATCCTGAAGAAAATCCAAAAAGATTTTAGTGACTGCTAGCATTTTCTATACTTCATCAGGAGTAAAGCTGATTGTTTAGTAGGAAATCAGTAAGCTAAAGAGTACAGAATTAAAGCCATGCATTATTTTCAAATTTTACCTGTTTACCCAAAATTTTCCTTTAGGTTCTAATCCTATGGATTGCTGCAACTTTATATGGCTGAAATGAAGAAAAGAAAGTATCTTCTTACATAAAACTCTGTGGAGTTCTGTTTTTTCCATAGTGTAGTCCATAAGGCCCAAATTCAAAGAAAACATGAAAGAACCGATTTCCACACACACACACAGAAGTACCTCTTCTAACAAACTTCTTACAAACTCTCATCGATGTGAATAAAGCTATATACCAGACCAAAGTCACTCCAACCCTGCCTGCCATGAAATGAAAGTATTAGTACTCACTTACGAAGGATTTTTTTGGACTCACCCAAGCTTTTCTGAACCTATTGTGTACGTAATTAGAGGGTTTCTATATTATTTATGTGTAATAAATGTAAATATGTATAAAAGGATGTAAAAGTAATTAATAATCATTATATAAAACAAATCAAGTTTGTCAATGAGGAATTCACCTATAAATCTTAATTCCTACTTCTTTTATAAACCTAATATTTGTATAATTTTTATACAACTTGAATCTACTCTATTAATATTCTAGTACTAAACCTAACAGCATAAAAATAATTTAAAATGTGACCCTCATTGTTTAGAAGATTAGAACAGATCTAAAAGAACATAATATATATTCACAATTCAAATCCTAATATTGTTATATATATAAAGATGAGGCAATAGACACTGGGGAGGGCATGTGCTTTGGGGAGCACTGTGACTTGTGTAAGATGGATGAATCACAGACCTGTACCCCTGAAACAAGTAATAAAGTAAAGAGAAAAAAAAAGATGAGGCAATATACAAAATTGACTTTTTAGTGGCTCAAATATATCTAAAATTGCAAAGCTACAAATAACATTTTAAAATTTTACTGACAGAGGCTGCTGTCTAAACAATAAATACCCATTTTATAAAACTACAGAGAAAAAATATTTAAGTTTATTTCTAAACAGAAGTTAAAATAGGAAACTGCAGTCTGAAAATCCAAACGGTAAACTCAACTGACATTTACTTCTGAGGGTCAGCCAGTTTGAAGATCCAAATCTAGAGACCTGGAGTAGAACATGTTTTCCCAACCAGCTGCTTCCTTATTGAGTCCAAGATATACTCTTGCTAATCAATAATTTTTTCCCATTTAAGGGTCTTTGTATAATTCTAAAATTTTATTTCTCCATCTTTAAAATTTATTTTTCATATAGAAGTATAATTGACATACATTATATTGTTTTAAGTATAAAATAGTG